GTGTGATCACTCAATTCCGGAATGATCAGCGTTGACCACACCTCACCCCGCTGCACCCTTTGTAGCATGTTCGCAGCTCCTCTATACAAACGTATATGGAATTCAGGCTGCATCTTGCCTTCAAAATTCTGAACTGTTGATCCATTGCCCACCTTTTGGCTCCATCTCATCAGAACCTTTCTTCCCACAGCAGGGGTCCACACTCCCCTTTAATTTTAGTTTTATAGGATTTTTCACTGATAGAATCTCAATCATGTAACCAGAAGCCTTTGGCAAGCAGATTTGGAAGCCCCTTTTCTTAAAATGACAACACAGGAAAGATCACATATAAAGCTCAGCACCTGTGTTAACTTCCACGTGTCTCTAAGGCCTGAACTGGTGAAGCTGTGTCCTTCATGCTCAGGTATCGCTTTGTCTCCCACCTTTCTAGGGAGGCCCCCACAGCTCTAGATAAGCAGAATTTGAGATTTCATTGCCCTAAGATCACCCACTGTGGTGCTGGAGAAGACTCTTGAGAATCCCTTGGACAACAAGGAGATTAAACCAGTCAGTCCTAAGGAAATCAACCCTGAATATTCATTGGAAGGACTGATGCTGGAGCTGAAGCTCCAATACTTTGGCCACCTGATGAGAAGAGCCAACATTGGAAAAAACCCTGATGCTGGGAAAGATTAAGGACAGGAGAAGAAGAGGGCGACAGGATGAGATGGTTAGATGGCATCACTGAATCAATGGACATGAGTTTGAGCAAACACTGGGAGATGGTGAAGGACAGGGAAGCCTGGAGTGCTGTAGGTCATGGGGTCACAAAGAGACAGGACTGAGTGACTGAACAACAAGACCCCTGCAGAAGCGGGTTTCTGATATCAGCATCCACCTATCAGTGTATCTTCTCATCCATTTAAAAAATGTATTCAGACATGGAGAGGGCTGAGCATCTATTCTGCTGGGACTCATGTTGTGAGCTGGGGTTACCAAAATGTGTACATAGCATATGACCTCCAGCCTGGAGTCAGCTGCAGTCCTGCAAGGATGGTTGACAAGTACGAGGACGATTAAAATCATCCCAGGATGGCAAATGCTGGGATGAGGGTCAGCATGGGGAGACAGAGAAATCTATACCAGTGGGTGGGTGGTGGTCAGGGAGAGCTTCTCGGAGGAAGTGACACCTGGGCTGAGTCTTGGAGATACAGAGGGATTCACCAGGCAAAGAGGGAGGAAAAGACATCAAGTGAAGTATGTGCAAAGGCACCAGGGCAGACGTGCTGTGGTTGTTTTGCTGGGCCATGTTGTGTGTGTGTGTGTGTGTGTGTGTTTACACACACATGTGCACGCCATGAGGAAGCAGAAGGGAAGGGCCCAGCAAGAGACGAGCTGCTTGGGCTGGCTCAGGAAGGGGGCCTTGTATGTCACGCTAAGGAGCTTGGAGTTTATCCCAAAGCCACAGGGAGCTATTGAAAGGGGTTTTAAGCAGGGGAGTGCCGTGATCAGATTTGCGTGTTAGGAGGATCACCTTGGCAGCCTTGCAGAGGATGGATTGGAGGGGCCAAAGCTAGAGGCGGGGGATCAGTCCGGATTTCTTGGGATTTTCTCTGTGGTTTTACAAATCTGACGAGGCTAGCTGGGGTGGGCCTGGCACACACCAGCTTAGAGAGAAAATAAAAGCTCTGGAGACCCGTCTGAAATGGCTCCCAGGCTCAGCATTTAATTCCACCTTCATTTGCTAACTCCCTACCCTGCCACCCCTGCCCCAGCCTAAAGGACCCACTGGACCCCCCTAATTCTCAGACCCTACCCTCCCCAGAAGCATCAGAAACTGGCGGCTCTCGGCATTGAATCAGAAAGGGTCATGCTGGTCTGACACCACCCCCTCCCAGGCCCTGGAATGCCAGGCCACAAGAGCCCAAACGTTGTCTTTCCTCTCACACCCGGCCACTGTCCCCAGGGCACAGAGCAGCCATTGAGGGGCCCGGGGTCCTGGCGGGGGGCCCGGGCCTGTTAGCTACAGGCAGCGGCAGAGTCACGCTGCTCCGAGCCTTTCAGCCCGGGACAAGCCTGTCCTTGTGTTCTGGGCTGTCCTTACCCAGCAGCCCAGCTCACAGCAGCTGCGGGCCCCTCTGCCAACCCCCGCCAGTGCACTTCAGAGGCGCCGTCAAAGGCAACCAAAGCCCAGTGTGAGAGCTGAGTCCGGGGGAGCAGAGGGCCACCCTGGGAAGGCTGCTCCGAGAGCCTCCTTGCTTCTCTGCACCAGGAGTCCAGCCTCTGCTGACAGGTGCCCGGCCCCGGGGGCTCTCCTGCTCTGGTGTCCTCCCTTCAGGAAGCAAGGAAGACTATGCAAGCCCACTCCTCCTCTGCGCCCTCTCCTGGGTTAAAACCAACCCACCTCTATAGATAAGCAGAATTTGAGATTTCATTGCCCTAAGATCACCCACTGTGGTGCTGGAGAAGACTCTTGAGAATCCCTTGGACAACAAGGAGATTAAACCAGTCAGTCCTAAGGAAATCAACCCTGAATATTCATTGGAAGGACTGATGCTGGAGCTGAAGCTCCAATACTTTGGCCACCTGATGAGAAGAGCCAACATTGGAAAAAACCCTGATGCTGGGAAAGATTAAGGACAGGAGAAGAAGAGGGCGACAGGATGAGGTGGTTAGATGGCATCACTGAATCAATGGACATGAGTTTGAGCAAACACTGGGAGATGGTGAAGGACAGGGAAGCCTGGAGTGCTGTAGGTCATGGGGTCACAAAGAGACAGGACTGAGTGACTGAACAACAAGACCCCTGCAGAAGCGGGTTTCTGATATCAGCATCCACCTATCAGTGTATCTTCTCATCCATTTAAAAAATGTATTCAGACATGGAGAGGGCTGAGCATCTATTCTGCTGGGACTCATGTTGTGAGCTGGGGTTACCAAAATGTGTACATAGCATATGACCTCCAGCCTGGAGTCAGCTGCAGTCCTGCAAGGATGGTTGACAAGTACGAGGACGATTAAAATCATCCCAGGATGGCAAATGCTGGGATGAGGGTCAGCATGGGGAGACAGAGAAATCTATACCAGTGGGTGGGTGGTGGTCAGGGAGAGCTTCTCGGAGGAAGTGACACCTGGGCTGAGTCTTGGAGATACAGAGGGATTCACCAGGCAAAGAGGGAGGAAAAGACATCAAGTGAAGTATGTGCAAAGGCACCAGGGCAGACGTGCTGTGGTTGTTTTGCTGGGCCATGTTGTGTGTGTGTGTGTGTGTGTGTGTTTACACACACATGTGCACGCCATGAGGAAGCAGAAGGGAAGGGCCCAGCAAGAGACGAGCTGCTTGGGCTGGCTCAGGAAGGGGGCCTTGTATGTCACGCTAAGGAGCTTGGAGTTTATCCCAAAGCCACAGGGAGCTATTGAAAGGGGTTTTAAGCAGGGGAGTGCCGTGATCAGATTTGCGTGTTAGGAGGATCACCTTGGCAGCCTTGCAGAGGATGGATTGGAGGGGCCAAAGCTAGAGGCGGGGGATCAGTCCGGATTTCTTGGGATTTTCTCTGTGGTTTTACAAATCTGACGAGGCTAGCTGGGGTGGGCCTGGCACACACCAGCTTAGAGAGAAAATAAAAGCTCTGGAGACCCGTCTGAAATGGCTCCCAGGCTCAGCATTTAATTCCACCTTCATTTGCTAACTCCCTACCCTGCCACCCCTGCCCCAGCCTAAAGGACCCACTGGACCCCCCTAATTCTCAGACCCTACCCTCCCCAGAAGCATCAGAAACTGGCGGCTCTCGGCATTGAATCAGAAAGGGTCATGCTGGTCTGACACCACCCCCTCCCAGGCCCTGGAATGCCAGGCCACAAGAGCCCAAACGTTGTCTTTCCTCTCACACCCGGCCACTGTCCCCAGGGCACAGAGCAGCCATTGAGGGGCCCGGGGTCCTGGCGGGGGGCCCGGGCCTGTTAGCTACAGGCAGCGGCAGAGTCACGCTGCTCCGAGCCTTTCAGCCCGGGACAAGCCTGTCCTTGTGTTCTGGGCTGTCCTTACCCAGCAGCCCAGCTCACAGCAGCTGCGGGCCCCTCTGCCAACCCCCGCCAGTGCACTTCAGAGGCGCCGTCAAAGGCAACCAAAGCCCAGTGTGAGAGCTGAGTCCGGGGGAGCAGAGGGCCACCCTGGGAAGGCTGCTCCGAGAGCCTCCTTGCTTCTCTGCACCAGGAGTCCAGCCTCTGCTGACAGGTGCCCGGCCCCGGGGGCTCTCCTGCTCTGGTGTCCTCCCTTCAGGAAGCAAGGAAGACTATGCAAGCCCACTCCTCCTCTGCGCCCTCTCCTGGGTTAAAACCAACCCACCTCTGTAGAAGCATGTCCGAAAAACAGTTTGCAGCCCCAGTACACACATGCATCGAGCACCTGCTGTATACTCATGCCCTGGCCTGAGTGCACATATAGGTAGTAGGGTCTCGTTACAGCCTGGGCCACGTGGGGGTTCACAGTTCAGGCTCTGAATTCACGCTGTTCCAAACCTTGGCTCCTCTTCTCCCCAGTTGTGTGACTTTGGGAAATTTACTTAGTCTCCCTTTGCCACAGTTTCCTCATCTGTAAAATGGGGGTAATGCTGTATGTATCTCTCTCTCTGGGTTGGGGTGAGGATTAAATGAGATGATACATGAAGTGTCTAGCTCAGAGCCTGGCATATAGTTTAAGGATTCATACAAGGTCACTGCTGCTGTTTTTCCTCCTTCCTGTTGTCATTAGTGGATTGTCCTATTGCTCCAGGGTAGAACGTTAGTTCCACTTTACAGATGAGGAGACTGAGGCCCCATGAACTGAAATAGCCCACCTGCTGTCACATAGCCATCCAGCGGCAGAGCTGGGGTTGGAACCAGGCTCTCTGTCCCTCGCTTCTGCAGCATAGCCAGACCCTTTGGCTGACAGAACACAGAGGCGTGGGACTCCTGACCCTGGGGCAGTGGAAGAGGTGGACCCTCCCATCGCCTCTGAGCGCCCTTTCTCTTTTCCAGGTTTCGGAGCCAGGACATGAAGGTCGCTAGAACCCAGGGATGGCGAAGTTCCTGACACTTGGACAGAAGCTACAGCTGCAGGGCCCAGGGCCGGAGCGCAGTGATGGTGCTATCTGAGCACCTGCTGGAAACGGGGCAGGAGGAGCAGTAACCCCAGGAGAGAACAGGCTGGTGCTGGCATGCGGGGATGACACCTCCGGAGGCTCCGGCCTCCTTCCCGCCTGGGTGCTAGGAGCCGTCCCCGGGCTCCAGCTGGGAGCCCTGCCGCCCAGGGGCATGGCCAAACCTTTCTTCCGACTCCAGAAGTTTCTCCGCCGGACGCAGTTCCTGCTCTTCTTCCTCACGGCCGCCTACCTGATGACCGGCAGCCTGCTGCTGCTGCAGCGGGCCCGACTGGCCCGGCCCCGGCCCGGCCCCCGCTGGCTCCGCAGCCGCAACTCGGAGCTGCGCCAGCTGCGGCGTCGCTGGTTCCATCACTTCATGGGGGACCCCCCGGGGCCGCCCGCGCTGAGCCCCGAGGCCCCCCAGCCAGCCACCAGCAGCCGAGGTAGGTGCTTAGTCTGGGTCCCCTTACACATATGGGAGCTCTTCCCGGGAGCCCCATTTCCGGGCACAGGACTGGTGTCCACTCTCCCTGGCCCTGGCTGCAGCCTGAGAAGTGGGAACTGAGGGCCCGTGGCCTTCCCACAGCCTGCTTCCCCCAGCCCCACCATAGACGGGAGGGGCCTGGGAGGGGAAGCCCTTGGGAGTTTTGCTCACTCCCTAGCTGGACGGCATGTGCTGGGGGTTGAGATGTGTAAGCATCTTAGAGCTGAGACAGACCTGAGCTTAAATCCTGGCTCATTCCCGAAACTTACTGGGTGACCACGTCTCTTAATTTCTCTGTCCCTTGGAATTGGAGGTCGAGACACCTGCCCCAGGGTTGTGGTGAGGATTAAATGTGATAATGTACAGCAGCAGTTCGGTAAGTGGGATCCCAGGCCGGCAACCCAGCACCACCCAGTAGCTTGTTGCAAATGCAGGTTCTCAGGTTCTCTAGGACTCCCCAAGTCTCGAACTCTGGGGTGAGGGCTGCAGAACTGTAGGCTGCAGTCTGGGGCAGCATGGTCTCCAGGTGGTTTGCATGTGCACTGAGGCTGAGGACCACTGGACTAGGGGGCCTATTGTATGCACTGGCAGTCAGGAATTATTATTATTATTTAATAACAATAGCTGACTTGTGTAGCAGTGACTGCACACCTGTAAGTGTTGTATTTACAGGTGCTATTATTATTGTTACGGGGCTTCCCAGGTGGTGCTAGTAGTAAAAAGCTACCTGCCAATGTAGGAGATGTAAGAGACACAGGTTTAATCCCTGGGTCAGGAAGATCCCCTAGAGGGCATGGCAATCTACTCCAGTATTCTTGCTTGAAGAATCCCAAGGACAGAGGAGCCTGGCAGGCTATGGGCCATAAGGTCACAAAGAGTCAGACATGACTGAAGCGACTTAGCATGCATGCACTATTATTATAACTCAGTTTTGCAGGTGAAGAGGCATGGAGATTGTTAAGTGAATTCTCCAAGATCATTCTCTTAGTTTTGGTTCCTTGGAAGCAAACCCTGAAACTGGGATTCACATGGATATGGTTTGTTTTGGATACGACCCCAGGAACACTGGTAGGGAGTGGGAAGTGAGACAGGGGAGGAGGTGGCCAGTACAGGGTATGTTATGGAGCAGATGGGGACTTGGAATGAGGGTAGAACCTGCCTCTTAGGGTGCAGCCTGGAGACAGCAAGGCTGGGGGGGACACGGGCAGGGCACTGACCAGAACTGCTGGAGTCACACCACTGGGACTCCATCATGGGGTCAGCCTGGCTCCAGCTTGGAGCTCTTAGCACAGAGTTATCCAGACTGTGCGGGGCCTAGAGACTGAGCCTGTGTGAAGTGAGCACCCAGGGAGTGTCAGAGCCGTTGTTGGGTGGTGACTGATCTCAGACAGTGTCTCAGCATCTCTGTCACCACCTTATTTGATCCTGTGCAAATCGCTGGAAAAGTGCTCTCCTGAGTGTAAGAAGTGTGGTTGGAGCTTTGAATCCTCAGTGGCAGGATACAGAAGAAGATGGTGCCCCGATACAGTGAAGACCGCAGGACTATGCCTTCTGTAGAAGAAACTTCCATAGAAGGAAGTGTCATCTGAAATCCTCTAGGTCATAGCCCTTGTGTGGGATTCCTCAGCAAGGCTTCCATGTAAGAATGAGGGAGAGTCAAGGAACCATTTCTGTAACTCATTTCATATAGTTATACTTTCTATAAACTCCTCCCAACACATCAAGAAGCGGAGTCTCTATCAAGGAGATGCCAGTGTAGCTCATTTATACTAAGGTATAAAGGACTGACCAAAGTCACCATGGATTTCTTATAAAGAAGGCATGGAAAGAGCATGGATTTTGAAAACAGACCTGGATTTGTCTCTTGGTATTGCCAGTTATTGACTCTATGACCTTGGCAAATTAGCCATGATTCCTCTTTTTATTTTTCTCAGTCCACACTTAGCACATATGAGTCTCCATGTGGGCTCTTCACTTTACACTTGAGGAGCTCCGTCTGTGGTGGTGGAATCAGATATGCATCTAGATGATTACTGCCTAGCACGACTGAGGCGTAAGAGAGGCACGTGCAAAAGGCTTGGGGCTCGTTACACAGAAGTGACAAGTTCTTAGTAACCTGGCTTCAGGGTGACTGGCCAGGAGAGAGGAGCTCTCGGGGTGACCTGGTTACAGCCCCGTGTGTAGAATATCTACATCCTGGAGAACCAGCAGGCACTCTTTAAGTCATCATTTAAAGAGGCGATGGAAGAGGCTGTAGTGAAAGCTGAAGGCAGTGGTGAGATCCAAACACGAGAGACCATCACCTATTATACACCAGGGTTTCTGTCCCGAGTCTCTGAGTACCTTCTGGCTGACTCTCCCTGGTGACCCCTGAACCTGGCAAGGAAGGGGTTAATGCCTAGTTCAGCGGGAACAGTCAAGCTCTGGTGTTTTGTTTTGTTTTGTTTTTCCATTTATTTTTATTAGTTGGAGGCTAATTACTTTACAATATTGTAGTGGTTTTTGTCATACATTAAAATGAATTAGCCATGGATTTANTAGTTTGCATTCCCACCAACAGTGTAAGAGGGTTCCCTTTTCTCCACACCCTCTCCAGCATTTATTGCTTGTAGACTTTTGGATCAAGCTCTGGTGTTGAATGGTGACAATTCAGACCAGTCCATGCCTCTTATCAGTTATTCAATATTTTGAACATCCCCCAGGATTGGAGGAAGAACTCGCCCTGGGAGGGGCAGTGGTGTCACGCAGCTGAAGATCTTCAGAGGAAGTGGGGAGAGGCAGGCACTGGCCCTAGAACCCTCTGGGAGCCCCCTTCCTCTCTTGGGGCTCTGTGGGGCCCTGCATAGCCAGGCTGGCCTCCCTGGTGGAGGCCCGCCCTCGGGACAGCTGCTGGAGCTTCAGACAAAGAGGGCGTCTCTTCGCAGCCCCGGGCAGCCCGCCATCCTCCTGTAAGGGGATCCGGCAAGGCTTGGAAGCCGCAGGAGGCCCCATCAATCACTGAGCATTTCATTATACCTTGGACAACATCCATAATGGAATAAAATGTCAGTAAGTTTACTAGGGGAAAAATAGTAACTTCTCCATAGCCAGTTTGTTTTTTATTGATAGTAATTTCCAAAGACATTCCAATATCTCCGAAGCCATCGTTAATAGCCTCACGGCATGTCCATTTTGATGTGCAAATGAACAGATGCAGAGTCACAGACAATAATGCATCGCCTCCGTTTCAGCCGAAAGTAATAAATCCGCCTCAGAATGTGTCCCAGTGCATCCCTGGGAAGTCCTTTCTTTCTACACATTCCCGCCTCTGTCAGGGAGTTAGAAAAGCCATTCATTATTTTTCCGGGAGAAAAGACTCACCTCCTCCTCACGAATGGGGGGAGGTATCTGGGTCTTGCTACAAACAGAGACCGGACCAGCAAGGCGTGGGTGTTCCTCCAGACTGGTCAGTTCCACCCACCAGCCAGCTGGGAGCTGGCTAGCCTCTCCTTGTTTTTGAAGAACCCAATCCTGACCGCTCGAAACCCTTTCTTTCTCTTTTATTAATGTGCTCTGCTAATATTTACGGAGCCATCGGCACTCCCGGCCCCAGGTTACAGTGTAGGATGAGAATAATAATAGCTGTCGCTTATCCGAGCATCTGTTGTGTGCCAACCATTGTTCTGCCTAGATGGACATCTGTTATCTCATTTAATTTAATCTTCAAACAGCCTTATGATGTCAGCAGTGCTATCACCATTTTCATGATGAAGGGTTTGCATTTCGGGGAAGTAAAGTAATCTAAAAGTGTTTATTATTAATAATGACACATGGCAACAATAACAGTCACCCCTGAGCTTGTACTACATGCCACGCCTGCATTAGATAACTTTCCATGTTAGCTCATGGCACTCTCGCAACCCCCCCATGAGTTCCGTGGGACCGTATGCTTCACAGATGCGGAAGCAGACGCTGCACAGGCCAGGTCACGCAGCCAGATAGAGCAGAGCCTGGATTTGAAACTCAGGCAGCACATGCCCAAGAGCTTCTTCTTCCTGCCCCGCCCCGCAAACGTGTATGTGCCAGTCTCAGCCTCCAGGGGTCTTGAGCCCAGTCACCTTTAGAACCTCCTGGTTAATTTCCCATCAGCGGTGATAAATGTTTAACAACCCCCAAGCTTGTGTTTTGGATGTTTACTTGAAAGCTGTAATAGAATTTCGTCTTTGCTGAGCAACACATGTCAGAAATTTCTCAAATATTAGTTTTCTTTTACTAAGTAGGCAGGCTAAGGAGAACGACTGGTTCTCACTGACCTGGGTGAAAGCTTTCTGGTCTCGGTAGTGCTGAGATTTATATGAAGAGAGGGAAGCTTGCAGGGCCTGGGTGTCTGGAGCTCCGAGTAGAGGAGTGGAGCTTGTATCCATGGATGGACACTGGGTGTGGCCACGTGTGTGCTGGCGGGCATCCCGCTGAAGGTGGCCTCAAGAGGGTCATAGCCTGGAAGTGGGCAAGACCCTGTGGCAGACATTGAAGGTCTTTGCTTTCGCTGAAGCCCAGAGTTCTCTATTCTGAGGTTTCTGGGTCTTCAACCTTTTCTGGCATGACAGAGAGTCCTGTCTCCCACCATCTTAGTCATCTTCCCTTGCCTGGCCTTTTTTTAACCAGGGGCTCTGGGAATTGCACATTGGTGTAGCCAATAGGACCAGCCCCTCCTTGCATTTGGGCTCCCTGCTTTCCCTCTTGCATCCTCACAGGATGTCAGCGTGGGTTTTAGGAGCTCTGAGCCACTGTTGGCATCATGTCTGACCTTGGCAGCGAGTCATCACCTAAGGGGAAGTTGTTGTCCCTGCCCTCAACGAGCATGGTGCAGAGATGAGAAACACAGGTGTACATGATTCTTAACAACATTTAATGATCAGGATTTGCACGCAGCAAGTTTTTCAGACACTCGGTGTAATGGTGCAGGGAAAAGAGAGGCTGCAGAAGACTGGAGTGGTCAGGGCTGTAAGACTTACCATCAAGGATGAGTAGGAAGCAAAGAGTGGATGTGCAGGAAGGAGCAGGGACATGACCAGATGTGGGTGGGAGAAATGAGCAAGGGGAGGGGGAGGGTGCCTTTATCCATTTGACAGTTGAGGAAACTGAGGCACAGAATGTTGAAATGATTTAATCAAGGTCAGAGACAGATTTAAGCATGCTGTTCATACCCAGGAAAGTCATCCCTGATTCACGTCCCCAGGAATGTGGGCTGGCAGACTCACTCCTTCAAACCACTCTGCTGGTGGCCCTGAGCTTCTGTTTTGGACCAGCTTCTTGGCAGGAGTAATCAGCACCAGTCTCGCCTGATCTGGGAGCTCCAGGACTGGTGGACGAGATGGTCACTCCTTCTCGCAAAGCCGTTTGGGAGCTGGCTGGCTATGGGGAGGCCTTGGGCACAGTGCTTCCCGGAGACGCCCAAATTCCAGAGGCTACAGTGTGCTGCTCAGGTGCCACTTGAGACATCCTGGAGCTGAGTGCCAACATTTCCCCGGAGACGGGCAGCATCTTCATCATGGGTGCCTGATCCAGATCTGGGCGCAACTCTTATGGGTGTGCATTCACAGCTCGGACGGTGTGATGGTGTACTTGCAAACTCCTGATGCATAACTCCTTCAATGCGCTGTGGTGCACGTGATGTTAGCATTCAGGTTCTCCAGGCTCCGCTGTGTGTTTCTGGGAGTCAGCTCCCCATCTTGGGGTGTGGTGGGGCAGGACTGTTTCCCACTGACATGTGCACCATTGGGTCAACACTGTCACTGCTTTGTGGAGTCTTGCCCCTCAACCTCCCCTTCCAGGGACGTGCTGGAGATGCCTGACCTGGTGAGGGCTCAGGGTCTTGTGGTCCTAAGGATTCCCACACAGGAAAGCCCTCTTACATGTTAATAGATGCTGCTTATACACCTCCAGTGACGGGGGCTTCCACCCTCCTGTGATGGCTGATATTTTCTTTTCTTTCTCTTTTTTTTTTTGATGTGAACCATTTTTACAGCCTTAATTGAACTTGTTAACAATATTGCTTCGGTTTATTTATTTATTTATTGGTAGCGTAACGTGTGGGATCTTAGCTCCCGACCAGGGATCAAACCCACCTCCCCTGCGTTGGAAGGTGAAGTCTTAACCCCTGGACCATGAGGGATGTCCCAGCAGGTTTTTTTTCTCTTGGACTAGCTCTCCCTGTTTGCAAGATCTCTATATTAGCTAAGATCAGACTTTGCGTAACTCATTTCTTCCTTCTGGATCACAAGGAGGCAACAGAATCTGCCTATCAGGACATTCATGGAGGCAGACAGGCCTCTCCTGGCTTAGGAAGGATAGGGATGAAGAGGAGAGGGGTCCAGGTGAAGCAATTAAACCAGCTAGACTTGGTGGGTAAGGGCTGGTGGAAGAAAGTTATATTCTGGCTGATGCCAGGCTCCTGGCAGGGTGTCTATGGGACTGTTGGCCATTAACTAAGAAAGAGGGCAGGAAGGGAACAAGTTGGACATGTCCAGAAGCACTGTGAGGAAGGTTGGACCACAACCTTGTCCCCTGGGCTTCTCTGAGAAGTGTCATAGCCAGGAAGGGCAATGCCAAGGGTGGATTCAGGGATTAGGACCCTCCCGCTCTCCGGGGTGTCTGAGTTTCTGCTGTGGTTCTCCCTCACCCCCTGCAGGTACCTATGTGGGATGCTTCAGTGATGATGGCCAGGAGCGTACTCTGAAGGGGGCTGTGTTTTTTGACTTGAGAAAGATGACCGTCGCCCACTGCCAGGATGCATGCGCTGAGCGGTAAGTGGGGGCCCTAACGGTCAGCTCCACTGGAAATAAGGCTCAGAGGGAATCCCAGAGAGTGGGAGTTGTGTCCCTGAGGTGGTGCTTCTGCTGCCAGTGGGCTGTTGGAGTGTGGTTAGAGCTCGACGGATCAGATGCAGTTGTCCAAAACAAAGAAGGTTTACTGATGAGATGGCAGGGGATTGTGGAAAGACCTCTGGGCTCAGTGTCAGGAGACCTGGGGTTCCTGTCCTGAGATTCCAGGACTCATCCTTATCCTGGCCCCAGACCCAGTGGCCGTTCCTGGATCCAGACCTCAGTGCCCCGGGCCAGGCTTGGGACTCACCCCAGGCCCCACTCTGCCTGCAGGTCCTACATCTACGCTGGCTTGGAGGCCGGGGCTGAGTGCTACTGTGGGAACCGACTCCCAGCGATGAGCGTCGGGCCGGAGGAGTGTAACCACGAGTGCAAAGGGGAGAAGAGCTCCGTGTGCGGAGGGGTGGGCCGGCTCTCCGTGTACCGCGTGGAGGAACTGCAGCCCGGCTCCAGGAAGCGTGAGTGCGCCCGCCTCTCCTGAGCTCTGACTGCCCCCTCTGCGTCCACAGCCCTTCATCTAAATTCTGTGGGACGGAAACTGTGCTCTGCCTTCCCTACCACCTTCTCTGGACAGGCTCGTGGCAGGGGGCAAGGTGTTAGGGTCTGCCAAAGATCGCTTGAGATCATGACCAAACCCCATCTTTCCTTGTCCTCTGTAGGAGAGAAAAACCGATCAGGAGGCCCAGAGCCTTGGTCTAGGTGTTTCTCAGACATGCTGTGTGGCCTCCCATCTTTGGGTTCCAGTCTATTTTGTCAAGTGCAGAGGGGCGGACCAGATAGTAAGAATGTCTCCTAGCTAGACAACACTTTGAAGTGCTGGTGAAAGTGAAAGCCACTCTTTGCGACCAGCTCTTTGCGACCCCATGGACTATACAGTCCCTGGAATTCTCCAGACTAGAATACTGGAGTGGGTAGCCTTTCCCTTCTCCGGGGGATCTTTCCAACCCAGGGATCGAGCCCAAGTCTCCCATATTGCAGGTGGATTCTTTACCAACTGAGCTATCAGGGAAGCCCAGGAAGTGCTGGGTAAAACTGAAAAAGTGTTACTGTAAATGCAAAGCTGAACTATCAAGAAAGTAAGGAAATCCCTGGCTCCAGCGGGAACTAGGAATCATGGCGGTGAGATGAAGACAGTCGACACAGCACTGGGTCTCCACGGGGGAAGCTGCTGGTCTTGGTGGCCACACGCCTTAGGTTTTAGTGTCCACAGAGGACAGAAAAGGAGGTTTTGAGTCCACCAGGGTAGGGACCTGGATTGAAACTTCTTTGTGAAGTTGGATTCAATTTCACTGAAGTATGTACATCAGTGAAATTTTAGATTTAAAAAAAAAAAAAAAAAACACCTGCCAGAGACAGAAAAACTTGTCTCTTTGACCTGAGCTTCAGGTTGGGATTAGAGGAAGGTGCAGAGCAGGTCATCTGTGGCTTCATCTTAAAGGTGCCCTCCTGCCCTAAGTGGCCTGGGACTCTCACCTGGGGAGCGGGGGAGAAGGGTGTGGAATGGGAGTGACAGCCTGTGCCACACCTGAAGTCTGGAGGCAGCTGAGGTTCTGCCAGCAGCATCTCACATCACTGACTTCTCACGGCTCATGCCGCATCCCTACCTCTCAGCATGTATAGGGCGCCTGCTGTATGTCAGGGTCAGAACTGGGTGTGGGGTGAAAAGGGTGACCCAGATGCCGCCTCCCCCCAGGCTGCGGGGAGGTACTCACAGTGGGGCATGGGTTCAATCCCTGATCCGGGAGCTAGGATCCCACATGCTGCGCAGCATGGCAAAAGAAAAAAAAATCAACAGATTTGTGGAAGGAGGGAGAAGGGGAAAGAGGGAAGGAAGGAGGGAGGGAGGAAGGATGGACACTGTCCTCCGAGGGCTGGCGGGAGTAGCAAGTCAGGAGTTCAGCAGCTTCAGCCAAGTGGTCGCTTGTCAGTGACCCTGGTGAGTAAGGTTCTGAAGTCTGGTCTCTGTCAGGAGCCTGGCTTGACCATAGTCTGTCTGGGCAGTTTACCTTCTCTGATTTGGAATCTCCTCCTCGTGAGTGTAATTCCACCTATTTCAGGATCTGAAGCTGCCATTTTCCCCCGGGTCAGGCCCCAAGAAGGGCAGGCACCGCTTCTTACCAGATCCCCATTTCCTTCCCCGCAGGGAGGACCGTCACGTACCGAGGCTGCTTCCGACTGCCGGAGAACATCACGCATGCCTTCCCCAACTCCCTGGTACAGGCCAATGTGACTGTGGAGACGTGCTCCGGATTCTGCTCCCAGAAAGTAAGAGGAATTATGACTTCACAGCTCTGTCCTTTAACCATCCAGCCAGAGTGGTGGTCTCAGGGAGGGGCAGGTGCCTGTGGGGGACTGCAGCTGTCCGTCCTCCTTGGAGCCCTGGTGGGAGCTGAGGAGGGAGGGAGGCAGGCTTTGCAGCAGAGTTGCCGAGGACGCCAGCAGGGAGCCTGCTGATGCTGAGATCCGAGCCTGGGTGGGGGATTGTCAGTGAAGGTTGTAAAACTGAACGGATCATGCCTTTCCCGACGTGAGCTCTTGGCACAAGTGTCAGATGTTAAATTGACTTGGTTTGGAAGCCAGAAGCTGCTGGCTTGGGGCTTGGGGAGTGCTGATGGATTTTCTGTTATTGGCACTGACAGCGTTGGGCCAAGAATCCGACTTCAGGGGCTGTAGTCGCTCAAGTCCGTTTGGTCCCTCAGCTAGAGCGGAGGCGTGGAGTGTGACTCTGTGCAAGGGCTGGGCTGACTACCAAAGGCCATGTGCCTGCACCGCATGTCGGCTCTGGGGTGGAGACATCGATCAAGGCCAGACGGGGTTTGCATGTGGCACGATCGGGGTGGGGTGTGAAGCAGGGCTGGTGAGACCTGCAGGCTGCCCAAAGAGCTTGGAGATCTGAGGCTGGAGACCCAAGATCTCCAGACTGGGCCAGATGCTATGGCCCTGAGTGGCAGTAGGCTGGGGCTTGGGGCTCCAAATCCTGGGGCCCACTGGCTTTCATGGCACTGTTACACGTGGCAGTGGAACCGAGCAGGGCTAGGAGACAGGCGGGTCCTGCCCATGAGGGGGATGACGATGGTTATCAACAGTCCTAACCGGTATTCATCATTTATTCCATGCCAGTCTCTGTTCCAACTTCACATGGGTTAACCCACTTAATCCTCTTGACAACCGTATGGGATAGGTGTTCTGAGTAACTGCATTTTGCAGGCGAGGAAACAGAAAGCTTAAGCTTTCTGCCTGAAGCCACACAGCCAGGAAGGGGGAGAGCCAGGAATTGAACTCTGCCTAGTTCCGTAGCCTTCTGGTGATTTGAAAGGTGCAGGGCGTGGACTTCAGTGAAAGCACGTGGAGTTGGAGGTGAAGACAGTGCCCTCCATGGGCCCCCACTCCCCAGGAGCCGCCCTGCCTCTGCTCTGTGCTCTCAGCCCTCTTGAGATGCTTCCCTTGGAGATGGGGGGAGACAAAGCCTTTTTCCTACATGCTTTCCTCTTGCACAAGCGCAGCCTTTAAAGTGGCTGTCTTCCATCTCCAGCATGTCCAAAGCCACTGCCAAGGGTGTCTTGGTGTCAGGGCTCCTGAGACACAATGCTGGGAGCCGAGAAGACCATTTTGTTGATTCAGAGACACCTGGACTGGGGCCCCCTTCTCCCCCTCTCCCGCTGGTGGGACCAGAGCCAGTGGAGGTGGCAAGGACACCTGCTCCCACAGCAGGGAAGAAAACCTCCTACTCTGGGCTTCCTTCACACCTGCAGTTCAGAGCAGCTCCCTGGAAAGACCCCCACTGTAATCAGAGGAAGTCAACTGGTCCAGACCTGCTGGCCTCCCGGGTCAACAGATGTACAGGCATCTTCCTGTGTGCTGGGCGCTGGGTTGCAGCCTTCCCCTGCTGGTCAGCTCTGATCCTCCCAGCACTCTGTGAAGGGGGGTAGTCTGACCCCTGCTTGCTGCAGAGCCAGCGCAGGTTTGCAGGAGTGAGAGTTCTCACAGATGAGCATGGAGGGACCGGCTTTACAGCCCACTCTTATCTGTCTGTTAGTCGCTCAGTCATGCCCGACTCTTTGCAACCCCATGGACTGCACCCACCCCCCACCCCACCTCCGGGCTCCTCGGTCCATGGGATTTTCCAGACAAGGATACGGGAGTGGTTTGCCATTTCCTTCTCTTATATATATATAATTTAATTAGTTAATTTCTTTATCTTAGCTGCACTGGGTCTTCATTGGTGTGTGCAGGCTTCCCCTAGTTGCGACTAGCAGGGGCTACTCTTCACTGTGGTTTGAGGCCTTCTCATTGCGGTGGCTTCTCTTGTTGCAGAGCACAGGCTCTAGGCGTGCAGGCTCAGCAGTTGCGGCACACGGGCTTAGTTGCTCCACGGCACGTGGGATCTTCCTGGACCCGTGTCTCCTGCATTGGCAGGCGAATTCTTAACCACTGGACCACAGGGAAGCCCCCCTACATCCCACTCTTGAGCCCATGCCCCATGCTTTTCATGCTTCTGCCTCTCAGTGTGACATCGGTGGAGGAAGGGGACAGGGGGGTGGGAGGAGGAGACAGGAAAAGAAACGAGAGGGAGGGAGCCGGCAGCCTCACAGCTGTGCGTCGTTGGTGCTTTAAATTATTTTCCATAGATAAGACGCTCACGTGGAGCACGGTGAAAGGACACCCAAGGGTGTCCAGGGGACACTTTCACTCTCTGTGTTGTCCACCTGTCCTTCCTTGGATGCAGGCGATGGGCCTAACCTCTCCCTTCCACTCTCAGAGAAATTCTATGAATATTCAGGCAGTTGTTCCTTTACAGAGTCAGGATGGTGTCACAAACCCCACAGGTGGTGATGAGCCGCACGCACCATCCTGCCCCGCTCTCCTTCCCTGTGTCTTGCAGATTGCTCCAAATTGGCACAGGAAGCGCTTCCTCACTCTTCTATGCCATTACATGGATGTCCTATCATTTATTTAACAAACACCCCACTGTTAAGCATTTAGGTTGTTTCCAATCTTTTGCTTTTACAAACAAGGTTGCGATGACTATCCTTATAGGGGAGTAGTTCTGTGTTGGTGGTGGATCTGCCGGACACAATTCCTTGGCGGGGCTAGTTCCTTGTTCTGTGAGTAAACTTTGCTGTACTGCCCTGGTCAAAGGCTGTGTTCATTTTATGCACCCCTCCGCGCCCCAGTCTACGTGAGAGAGAAGCAAGGCACCCCTGAGACTCTGCTGTTGGGGAGGATGGTTTCAAAGCCACATCCCAGGTGGATGCCCCGGTGTATGGGGGCACCTTCCCTGGGGCAGCCCGTGAGGGGCCCAGACACAGAACTTGAAGCTTTTAATTCTTCAACGCCTCTTTCCAGCCTTTCTTCAGAGGTACTGACACAAATCCAGGTCGCTGCAGTCTCGCATTGGAGCATGTGCCAAAAGAGACCTGCAGGCTCTTGGTACCTTATGCCATTTTGCACCTTAACGCTTCATACTTTTCCCCTTGAGATGGATTTCGTGGATGGGTTACCTGCTCAGCTCTGGGCAGCGATGCTGCGTATTGTTCAGATAGAACAAGGATGAAGGGGCACCCAGGGTTCTCATAAATGGCCTTTGCCCTCCAGGCGTCAGGATCTGTGCTGAAGGCTTGGCTCCTGTCTTGCCTCCCCTATATCTTTGGATGGGGGGTGGGGCTGTTTTCTTGGGTCCCATTGTTTAGATCCACAGAACACTGCAGCTGTGAGGAGTAGTCACTATTTCCAGCTTTCAAGTTGAAAGCAGGTCTTGGCAGGACACACTTAGTGGGACAGGGGCCAAACGCATGCGCTGACACTTACCGGGTGGGGGGTGATGCCATTCCCCCCTAAAGAGAGGCTGAGACAGGAAGCAGGGACTCTGGCATACATCAGAGTAAGGTCAGTGCCTGATGGAGATGCAGGAGACTGGGAGGAAGGCTTAGGGAAGAGGACTGCAACTTTTTGGAAGGGTTGTTAGTCGCTCAGTCTTGTCCGACTCTTTGTGACCCTATGGACTGTAGTTTGCCAGGCTCCTCTGTCTATGCGATTTCCCAGGCAACAATACTGGAGTGGGTATCTCCAGGGGACCTTCCCAACCCAGGGACTGAACCCAGTTCTCCTGCATTGCAGGCAGATTCCTTACTGTCTGAGTCACTGGGAAAGCCTTAGAGCTAGCAGATGCTGGGCAGTGTCAAAGGGCAAATGAGGGGTGTGAGGAACGCACATAAAACTAAGCAACACCTGGGCAGGGGTGAGGGGGTTGGGAAAGCAGCCAGCCTGCCCACCCGGGGTGCAGGGCCCCATGACACCATGTGAAAGGTGGGGTGGGGACAGAGGCCTGCCTCTGAGTCCAGATGTTTGCCAGTTGCTAAGAGGGAGCTATGGACGGTGTGGTGGGGGAGAGGGCGGTATAACTGGTGTGGGCCTCATAGCTGTGGGTAGGATGCTGGGATCCCTTTGGGAGGCAGCAGTCCTCAGGGCCACCCCCAGAGATGCCTTGGCAATACTATGACCTAGGTTTGCCTGTGACCTGGCTCTGGAATTAGGGATTCCAGGTAAGGCGAGGATGATGCTACAGATGTACTTGCAGGTAAAGCCCCCATCTATCTGAGAGAGTGAGCCTTTGGTCCCCAGGGTGTCTGTCCCTCCCCTCTCCCTCGTCCTGCCCTGTGGCTGTGAGTGTGACTTGGACTCAAGCCTTCTGGATGGTCCCCATCAGCTCCCAGTAGGAGCTGGACTAGGACCCCGATCTCACTCTATGGCAGGGTTGCTCACTCTTGCATCTGTTATCAGTTGGGTCAGATCATTTGTGTGGGGATCTGTCTGTACAGTGTAGGATATTGAGCATCCCTCTACCCTGCTACAGACCAATAGCACCTCCACGCTTAGATGTGACAACCCAGACTGTCCCCAGACTTAGCCAGGGTCCCCTGTGGTGCCCCCATTGAGAACCACTGTCCAGCGGGCCACCTGGAACCGGTTGGCTCAGCCATACCAAGACCCAGCTCACATTCACCATGCATCTGAATCCTGGTGATCGATTATCTTCTGCAACTATTTAGGGAGGATGAAGGAGCAAATTTCACTTCCAGCCCTAAAGTCTGGTAGATGCAGGATCAGTCGGAAGTTGAGGTCTGCAGAGGTCACAGTCCTCTCCTGGATGTGGAGGGTGAGGGAGAGAGGTGAATTAGGGGATTTCTGGCTGTACTTTCCTGCCTGGAGTGCCAAGCACTGCCTCTCCGGAAAGGCCAGCAGCAACCAAGGCTGCAGAGACGTCC